TTACGGCTATTTTTAAATGGATTTTTGATACTGTCCAATAATAAAATCTGAAGTAAAAAATAAAGAGTTAAAAAATCGATGACGAGTAAACTTATAAAATCGTCTAAAAGAAAGCAAAAACTATATATAATTAATATAAATTAAAATATTTAATTTCAGACGAAAAATAAAACCTGTAAACAATTTATGTCTGTATTTACTTGTTCAAGTGCCATTGAAACGAACGATAGAAAAGAAGAAGCATTCAGTAGGTTTGCAATTTTTTTAAAATATTTTTTCAAATTATCTGAATAATTTTGTTGTTTTTATTTAGTTAAATAATGAAACCGTTTATACAAAAGATTGGCTCTTTAACTTTTTTGTTAAAACTGTTATTTCCTTGTTAACTATTGTCTGTCGTTAACAAAGCAAGTAAAAAAATGCACATAATGATAACAGTTTTATCTTTAAAACTGTTTGCAAAACTTTTGGTTTGGATACAAAAGATCAAGTGAAAATGATACTGGAAAGGTACACTTTCTTATATCTAAACATCATTGCAGCTTTCTTGTCTTCATTTTTGTTTATGTGTATTTCATCTGTGTTGCTAATGATATCGCCAGTTTTTATAATATTATGTTGTTAAGTAAAGCATCATTATGTTTCAGGCTAAAATAGAGATTTGATTATTACTTTTATCCAGTTTAAATGAATAACAACTCTGAAGGTGTATTAGCTGAATTATCTTTTCTTTTAGATAGTCTTTAGTCAATAACGGATTTTGAAATTGTTATAAGTCTACAAGACTTAATTTCAGCAAAATTCAATTAAAGAGTTACGTCATAGAAGATAGAAAAATATCAATATCTGTTTTCTGTTACTTGGCTTTCATTGCAAATCTGAGAGGTGCAAGGTGTTTAGCTTGGTTTAAGTACTACATAATACATCGTTGTACAGTTATTTAGATGGTGGTAAATTTCTTTAGCACAATTATTTTTATATTTTTTTAGACTGTTTACTCCTGTCCCAATCTAACCTAGTGGGTTCAAAAAGAAAGGACCGCGCTGGAAACATGATGGGGTTTTAAGGATTAGCCCTTTTTGAATTAATAGTCGGTAAGTCTAATATGTTTCACTCAGACGTGAAATAGTTAGTTTTATTCAACAACACCAAGAAACAGAGCTTGCTCAAGAAACAGAAAAGAAAGAGAAAGATGAAAAAATATTCTGTTGAACAATACTTTGGTTTTATTTATAAATTATTCTCCTATGTTTAAACATATAAAAGATGTAGAAAATGCTTCCTCTTTTATATTGACATCTAAAAGAGGTTTTTTTCTCGGCATCGGAAAGAGCTTTTTGTCATACTTTGTATGAAGAGCTATTATCATTTTCATTTGATAAAAACAACTTTTCATATATGAAAAGTAGGAATACTATAGAGTATAGGATACTATAGTATACTAAAAAGTAAGAAAAAAAGTCGTTCCGACCCCGAAAAAAAAACACTATTTTAGATAGGCATAATTGATAAACAAAGACTTCTTTAAGACGTCTTTGTTTATCAAATATATCTTTTATTGACAAGATTAAGATAAAAAAAGACGTCTTTTGGATGTCGAAAAAAGATATTTTGTAGATTTGCATATTCAATTGAAAAAAGACGTCTTAAAGACATCGTAAATAAGACTTTTAAAGACGTCTTTTCGGTGTCTTTTTTCCCACTAGGAATCTAAATACATTCAGGGAACTATTTTTTTTAAAGGAAATTACTTGCTTAATTATTTCACTTTTTTAAGGAAATTTTTTTAAGGAAAACTATTTCCTTTAAATTTTAATATCCTTATTTTAAGGAAATCTTTACCAGTGCTAATTTTGAGGGATTTTTGCCTTATTTTTTTCCCTTGAATATAAGGGAATTTTTTTTTTGATTGTATTATACTCTGAAAATTTTTTTGAGGCAATCCAAATTCTCAATATCTAGAATAGGACCGCAATTGTGGAACTTATTTCTCACAAATGATATTAAACAATAAACTCGATTTAATATTTTAAATAAGCGTTTAAACATTTGTTACTTGAATTCAATATTACTGAAACAGTTTCTTGTTTATATAAAACTTTTACACGAAATTTTTTTATGTACGCAATAGCTGGAAATTTTAATGATTAGGGGAGAGGGGGGAGAAGTAGGACTCGGGAGAAGTGGGACAGCAGAAATTTTTTGCTTTCCTGTGTGCGCTAGAAGCCAAAATTTTGAAAAAACTTTAAAAAAGTGTTTAGATTCGGGTGAAGTTGGACAGAATAAAGAATTATTTATGTCCCGTCGCCATTTGATTATTTTGATTGGTAAAAGCTCTTAAACATTTTAATGTCGATTTGGTGATTTAATAATTTTATCAGTTTCTATTTAATAATTTGTGTTAAAATGTTGTTTTAAATTGAATCAGTGCCTAATGAGAAGGTTTATTCGTGAAAACTTGTTTGGTTCACTTTATACATCAAATAAAAAAGATGTTGCAATTACCTTAAAAAAAAAATATTTATGTCCCACTTCTCTCCATTCTCCTTATATTTATAAAAATAAATTTACTTTTATATTTATAAAGATTTACTTGGCTTTTTTAATTTTTATTTTCATATTGATATATAAAATATATTTATGTGCTACAAATATCTTATAATTTGTGTTTATTTTATAGTTTATTGATATTGATTGTAAAATTTAACTGAAATTAAAACAAGATAGTAAGACTATTGTCTTAATAATTTTGTAAAAAAAAAGTTATATTGACGAAAAAAAAATTAAATGCAAATACTGAGGTTGTTATGTTTAAACATTTGAGTAAAATACTTCATAATATTTTCAATTTTTAGACCACTTGCGTTTTTAAACACGGCTAAGCCATCATCTTTATATAATTCAATAACACAAATATTGACTAACTCGCATAATCTGCCCCATCAAAAGCACCGATCGCAACATAAATAAAATGCTCGTTTTTTTTTACCCAAACTTGATCATTAATAAATAATAAATATTTTCGCGTTTCGAGAATTAAAGATTGGAAAGTCTGCATCAATGGTAACGTATTGTTATGTTACGTGAATGAGGTCGATAGGTAGCTTTTTATTAATAGAAGGGTTGACTTTTACCCGTTTACGTGTCAAAATGTCAAAAATAAGGAATTTATAAAAATGTTTGTAATTGATATTTTTGAACAAATTTCTTAGGTTTTGTGTGTTACTGATTCAAATTCAAAATATATTTTAGCTTGGTGTTCGGATAAAATGTGTTTATTTATTCTACCGACTCCAATTTAAGCTCGGTTAACCAGACGAACAGTAGGGTTATTTGATAAATTTGGTTTTCGGTCTTTTAGTGTGATGAAACTTTCGAAAATTTGAATTTGAAAATTGAAAAAAACGTTTATATAATTTTTTTTTTAAAAACATCATATTTCTTTCTTTATTCAAGTGATTTTTTATTATTGGGTTTTTTTTTATAATGTAGTAGCGTTCATTAACAGCTAAGTTGTAGTCATTAACAGCTAATTGTAGTACGTCAAATTTTTTAATTATTTCTAGATATCTAAAACACAATATTAGCGTTAACAGTTTTTAACATTTGCGTTCGCAGTTTTCAGACAAGTTATTAAATTATTATTTATAAAAATTATTAAAGTAGATCAGTAGTTATTAATATTTTAAAATGTTATGATATATATTATAACGTAAATAAACGTCTTTTAAAAGACATAAAACTGTGTCTTGATTTTATCTTTTTTTTTTTCTCATTTTGTTTTTAATTATTTATCAACATAAAACATTTATAAATACCATGTATATGAAAAAAAAAGTTATACGCGCAAAATTTAAAATGAAAAAACCATTTGAATTTTTCAAGACTTAATTTCATTAAAAAATGCGTGTTGAACAAACCAAAAGACGTCTCTACAGTGAATATAAATACGTAATCAAAAATTAAAAATTAAAACTGACGAAAGAAAACTGCCGTTACTCTAGACGTTCAATTATCTTTGAAACGAAAATTAAGAATAAGCCGTTGCTTTATATGGCTTAATTAGAAAATGCAAAAAAAAACGAAAACTTTTTATTAATAAAAGGCTTTCAAGTTTGGTGCTTTTTTTTTGGCCATTTTTGTATTTTTTGCATTGTGTGCATATTTTTAAATGTTTGTGTACTCTTAAATATTTATAATAAATGTAAAATTCATTAGTTTTACATTTATTAGAAATATTTAACACTATACATTTATATATTTAAAAATATACAAACTTCAAAGACTTCAAAAACTTCAAAAACAAGCGGAAAAACTGCGAAATAGAAAATTAATAATACTTAATTTTTTGAAAAAAAAAGTAACAACAACTACAATATTATGACTTAAAAAAAAATTTTATGCAAATTTGCATTTTTAAAGATTATAACCTATACGGTATTAGGTTTATTGCTGTCAAAGTTATCAGGGTCAAGATTATATTAGTCAAAGTAATAAAATTTAATAAAGTTTAAATAAAATAGTTGGTAAAGTTATATAATGTCAGAGTTATACCTGTTAAAGATATAAAATGTCAAAAATATATCTGTAAAAGATATAAAATGTCTGGGTTATACCTGTTAAAAATATAAAATATCACGGTTATACCTGTTAAAGATATAAAAAGTAGCTGGTAAAGTTATAAAATGTTAGAATTATAGCTGGTAAACTTATAAAATAAGATCATGGGTATTATAATAATAAATGTAATTTTTTATGTAAAATAAACTATATTTATCAAAAAAAGTTTATACTTAATTTTTTTTTAATTGAATTCTGACTTTTGGAGCAATAAACCATTTAAGCAGGTGCGTCTTGCATATGTATTTGTAATGTGTTGTATTGAAAAAATATTTTAAATAATATATTAAACGTATTGAATATCTGACACCTCCTCAGTTTAACAGTCACCAAAGTTTAAAAGAATAACATCAATGCAATATTTTGATTTCAAAATATTTGTTAGGTAATACAGTTAGATAAATCTTTCCTGTAGAACTAAATGCAACTGTTTATAAAATTTTTTATACTACGGCTATTTTTATTAAAAGAAATGTGCGATTTTAAATGCTTAATTATAGTTGTAATTGTAGAACTAACAACTTTAATCATGGGAATTTTATTATTATGCAAAAATACGTTCAATATTGTTGGTGCTATACTTGTAATTGTTTCAGCTGCTTTTCTTGTATGTAACTGTTTTTTATCCGGTGATATAAGAATAAATAAGAATAGAAAAGTACAAATTGAAATACCTGTTGAAAGAAATAAAGAAGATCAAGTTAATTTGCAACTTACAAACACTATATTTGACAAAGTAAGAGGAGGTAAATATATGAAACAAACTGTATAAGAGTTTAATCAAGTTTTTATAATTTAATCAAGGTTTTAATCAAAGTTTTTTAATGGTAAAAAAAGCACAATAATGTTTTAAATATTTTCATATTTAAAACAAGAAAAATAGGTATTTTCTAGTTTTATAAAACAAACTCATTAAAAGGTAGAGAGCTCAAGCAAACTCACAAGGTGGGGAGCTACCAAATATCAGAGAGCTTGTACCAAATACCATAACAAGCTTGTGATATTTAGGACAATATGTTTTTTTTTAGTAAAAATCTTTTTTGAAACTTTCTTTTTTTGTGCTTAGGATTGTTTACTGTTCTCGAACTTCTAATTGGTTTTCCGTTGATAAGATATATCTGTAAACTGATTGTTCAATACCTCTGATGTGTGACGTGCTTATGAAACAATTAAGTTCTTTTTTCAAACTTTAAGTGATTTGAATTGTCAAAAAAAATCGTTTTCTTCTCCAAAAAGCAAATATTAAGCTCTTATAAAATTGGAGAAAAGTGAGAAAAAAAATATTAAAGAATTTGGTGGAACATCAAATATTTAAAATATTTGATGTTCCACCAAACTTTCTACTTGGAAAAAGACTTTCTACCTGGAAACAAAATTTCTACCTGGAAAAGTATACTGACAAAATCTGTGGCCTTTTTTGTTAAAAATACCTTGATTTATGGTTTGTTAATTGAAAAAAAGAGTGTATTTTCCAAATGTGTTGAGTTTTAAATGTGTTAAAAGTTACTAATTGTTGATAAAATATAAAAAAAAGTAGAATAAATTCTTATTTTATTTTACAAAATTCTTCTGATTAACGGCCTTGCCATGTTTAATTTACTGCTGGATTGTTTTTCTGCTTTAAGAAAATAAAGGATAACGTTAGCATGTTTTCCTAAATGTCTAAGATAGAAGTTACTCGTTGAAGCACTTTTTAGTTATTATAGGTATGGTACATTTTTGGCAACTGTTTCAGGAGAGGTAATGTCAATTAATGAACAAATATCTTTTTATGATACCACTCTATAAATACCACGCTTTTTTTGATACCACACTGTCTATAATTATTTTTCTTGTTTACTTCAAGATTTTTTTAATGTCGTAATATAATCTTAACCAAAATAAGACTCCAAAAATCAGAAGCCAAAAAAGACTCCAAAATAAAAATCATATATATGCAGCAATAGCTTGTTGTACAAGAAGAATAATGATTTGTGAAGGACAATTTGAACCAAAAAGCGGTTCATGGTAGTCATGGTACTCATCAAAAAATAGCTCATGGTAGTCTTGGTACTAATTAAAAAACAGCTTATTGTAGTCTTAACTTAGATTATATGTTAAAAGATACTTTAAATGTGTTCTAAATTTTCAATAAAATTTTAAAATATGCAGTTCCAAAAAAAATGTGCCACTTATTTTGAATACATTGAAAATAATGTATTACATAATTTGTACTTACATCAATTAATAGATATAAAAATAGTTTGTAATTTTTTTAACTTTATAAGAGTTTTTTAAAATCCTATTTATTATAGAACTTTAAGTAATTATTCAATGTATATAAATAATTCATCTCTTTAAAAAAGAAATGGTACATTATTTTATATCAATTCTTGTAAATAAATTTGATCCGTGGATACAACGAATATGGCGATGGCTAAAACAAATTGCTTCAAAAAAAAAAAAAGGAACTTTTCGTAAAAAATTTTGTCTAGGTAGATGACTTTTGGAACTATTGTTTAAAAATAGTGGTTTTTCAAAAGTTATTAAAAAAAATTGATGCAAAAGTTTGGTTAAAATAAGAAATTCTTTTTTTTTTTCATAAAAAAGTTTGATTTTTCCAAAAAGTTTTTTTCATAAAACACGATAAAGATTACAAATCCTTTATAAAGGTTTTTTCCACTAGTATTTTTCACAATCTCCTAATTTCAAATGTTTTATCTCGTATCCTACTTGTTAAATTAATTGAATATTACATGAATAATACATAAATATTCCCGGAAAAGGATAACATAGAAACTAACGCTGCACCTCTTATTTGCAGGATAAATCTTGAAGTGTCGGATTGTCTCCCTGAAAATCTACGGAATCTTTTGTTTTATCACTTCTTATGTAAAAAACTCAATATTTTTTAATCAAACTTGTATATTTTTTGTTAACTTTAATTCTAATATAGAAAAAAAAAGAAAATTTTAAAGTATTACTTTAGAACCTTCATACCCATGCAATCCTCTTAATGAAGATTCTACATATTGTTATAAATCTACAAAAATAAATCTGCCATCTGACGATAATTTACCATGTAACCAAAATGCACTTTCACCAGCTGTTGAATCGTTTCAAGAATTAGTTAATCAACCATCGCAATTGTGTTTGCATATTCTACCTTCGTACGAGGAGGCAACAAGATACGAAAATCCAGTTAATTTAATACCACCTTATGAAGAATATAAGTATTGAATAAGTTGATTTATTGTATAAAATACAACTATAAACTTGTTTATATATTATTGCTAATGTGATGCAAGTGTATAATCCATTACAATTTTCAAACATTGATGTGTGAAAAAAGCACTTTTAATGTGTATCTATTACAGATTTCAAACATTCGATTATTGTAATAAAAGTGATATTTTAAAAATGTTTTGTAAAACTTAAATTTTTTAGTAATAGTTATATTTTTATCTACTGTTATTTTTAACAATGTTTTCTTTAAATTATTGACTGTGGTTTTCTTTTGTCAGGCAAATTAAGCTAATAATAAAATACTGCTTGAGTGTGCATGTTGTATGCTTGAGTGTGTATGGAAGTTGCTTTTAGAGAATTATTTGGTTTAAATATAAAACTGCAGACAATAATTTTCAAATAGAATCAAAATTTCGTTTTCATGTACTCAATCTACAAAGAAATGTTGATACCATTAATTTTTGTCAAAATAAAAAATATAAAACAACAACAAATATTATTTTTACATAACAAAAAAAACACACTTTTTTAATAAAAAATCTGATTTACAACAAAAAACATTTTTCTGATGTAAAGTATTTAAAAAAAAAAAATTTTAAGAACGAATATTTTGTTTAAAAGTATAAAAGATGACTAAAATTGAATAAAAAAGAAGAATGTTTCAACAAACCTAAAACACTTAAGAGATTTAAAGGTTCCCAAAAAGGCAGCCTAAAAGCAGCAAAGTAAATTGAAAATCAACCTAAGCTTTACTTGGATGACAAGCAGTAAATAAATCATGCAACAACAGCGACTTCAACAACAGCAATAGTAGCAAACAAGTCAATTGTAACAAGTGCTGTAAAGCTTTAGGCATAGCTTCAAAAAGTGCTTTAAAGCTTTAGGTATAGCTTTAACAAGTGCTGCAAAGCTTCAGCAAGTTAATAAATGGTATCACTTTAAAAATTCAAAATCCAAGGTTCGCTTTGTCAAACATGCATATCCAAGCAAAATGTAAAAAAAAAACAATTTATTGCACTAGAAAGTGCCGCACAAGTGACAAATTAAACCTGAAAACCATTCAACAACTTTTATCATAACATAAATAAACTTTTTTTTAAATTAATTTTTTATCTTATTTATTATTATTATTATTCGCAATATCTTTATATCAATATTGGTCAATTTGCATACTTCATTTCTCCTAAATGTAAGCGTGGAAATTAAACTATTTTTTTAATTATGTAAAAACTAAAAAATTAGCTTATTTTTATAAATATTTTGAATATATGTATTCTAATATATATATATATATATATATATATATATATATATATATATATATATATATATATATATAATATATATATATATATATATATATATATATATATATATATATATATATATATATATATATATATATATTATATGTGTGTGAGTATTTTAAAATAAAACTTCTTTTTATGAATTAATGTTAATTTGTTGAAAATATATTTATTTTTACCATTTCGAGGGAATATTGATACCCTCGTTATCAAGTATATTAAAAACCATTATAAAAAATAAAACCACAATATTATAAAAAATTGTTTAAATTTACGAAACAATGTTCTCTGTAAAGGTGAGTTTCCACTCATCCGTTTTTCTACGGGAAAGGATAAGGGAACGGAAAAATAATCACGTGAGCATGCGCAGTTTTCTTTCGGACAAATAAAATCCTTTATTACGCATGCTCACGTGATTTTGTTTACCTTTCCTATCCCGTTTCTGTAGATAAACAGATGAGTGGAAACTCGCCCTAAGAGCTTCTTTTTAAGAGTTTTTTAGGTGAGTTTTTTGTGACGTAAGAATTTGAACATGGGTTTCCAAAATGACGTTGTCACATAATCGCCATCATCTCGATTAAGACCATTGTCGCAAAAAATACTTTCGTTGTGTTGCATTTTCAAGGCTTCCCTAACTTTCCTATTAAAACTATTTGTTTCTATTTTTAAGGTATTGCAACCATTCCAGTTGAAATTTCCTTGGCAAACTTTGGAATGTTTAGCTACCGATGAATTTTCTCCTCTATCTTAATGTGCACTTGTTTGATGCTGGCATATCCGAGACGATATTTTAAGTCCAGTTTCACCAACATAACATTTGCCACAAGAGCACTCTAAAATGTAAACTCCGGTATAGGAATTAACTGGTAGTGTAGGTTTATTTTTGGAACTTGGTAGACTTTGGAGATTTTTTGAAGACTTAAACACTGGAGCGTATCCTGCTCTTTTAAAAACTCTTCTTAACTAAGGACTGATTCCAGGGATCCGGGGTAAAGACACAAACCTTTTTGGAGACATTAGGAAATGTTGATTTTTCTTGTTGTTGTTGTTAACACTTTCTCTCGTAGATTTAACTAATTTTTCCAGACTGTTTCTGTCATAGCCGTTTTCCATAAATACATCGATAAGAAACGACAGCTCATCATCAATGTTATTTATTGTGCATAAACGTAGTGCCCTATGGATGAAACCAATAAAGACACCAATGATATTTTTAGGGTCATGGCATGAGTTTGGTTTAATTTGAACGTTTGTGATTGCATTTTTCCAATGTATTTTAAAACTATCTACCGGTTTTATTGTTGGTAACTGAAACATCAAGATAGTTTAACGTATTGGTTAAGTCTCTCTATCTTGAAAAATCAAGATAGTTTAATGTAAGGTAGGCCGGGGCTAGTTGGTCAATTTTTACTAAATCTAACAGATCTCTCGAACGGTTTATCGGATTAATATAATTTTTTCACTATTAGAAAGATAATTTGTTCTGCTAAAAAATGGTTGAGACAAAAAAACTTTTTTTTGGTTTGTTTTAGAAAATATAGTCTAAAGTTTATGAGGCTGCTCAACCTACCCCAGCGGGGTAAGTTGAGCAGTTGTGTGGGGTAAGTTGACCAATTAAAAAGTGAATGCATTTCTATGACAAATATTAACTCTGTTATAAAACCAAAACATAGCTTCCTTATAAATTAAATATATACTTTTAAGTTTAACAAATTATTTAAAATATGGATATAAAAGCTAATAATTTTGAGACTAAAATAAAAACAAAACAAAACTTTTTAATCTTAAACTAAGCACAACTTTTTTAAACAAAACTTGTTAGTATTATGATAAAATAATAAATAAATACTTAATGCTAGTCTTCAATTACCATTTTGCAGTTAACACAAATATAATTTTGATCAGAATGTGAATTACATTTTGAATTAGACCATTATTTGCAACCTTGACACTGGATTCAATTTTCTTCCGGTAGACTTTCAGACTAAGTTTCCTAACATACAAGACAACCATAATCATGTTTTGCACTTGTCTTTAATTTTTTTGTCATCTTAGTTTTTTTGTTTGATTGTTTTTTAACTTTTTTTAATATACTAAGCAACAGAGTCTCCTTACTACCATGATCTGCTATTCAATTGAAGCAAAACTTTTTTTTCGTTTCTTTAAAATTTCTTTCTTTTCAGTTTTTTTGTTTGATTGTTTCTTTACTTTTTTTAAAATACTATGTAACTGAATCTCTTTATTACCATACTCTTTATTAATATTTAAAAGAGATTGACAGATAGATAATTTTTTTTGTTTCTCACATTACTTAAGTTTCTTTGTTTGTTCCTCTTTTAATATAATTCTTTCTTAGAGTATCTGTAAGAATAGCAGCTTTCTTTTTTATCCGTCTCGTCAAATGTATCTTTCTTGGTGCTGCTTTTGGGTAAGGTCGCACAGTTTCTGGAGAAAATGCTTAAGGAGTTTCAGGAAGAAGTAACGTTCTCTCTTTATTAATAATATTTTTGACAGATTGACCTAAAGATGTTAAACGTATCCGTGTGATAGCTCAGATTCAAGATTTGCTGGTTTTATACGGACTGTGACAAATTATAGTAAAAAATCATCAGCAAAAATGTCTGCATTGTTCATACACCAGTTTTTTGAAAACCCTTTGTAATGTTAGTACACGTTATAGCTAATGGCAATGAATCAGATACAATTTTTAGTATATCATAAGCTTTTATGGCTTTTCCAGGATTGTTTTTTAGTCATGGATCTTATGCAACTGATAGGTACTTTTTAAAAGGTCCAAACATTAATAAATCTAGTAGCTGCAGCTTATAGCTGCGATGTGGTGGGAAAGACAATATGACTATTCCATTCTCCTTTGGTAAGTTTAGTGTTTTAAAATGCAATTGAGAAGAGTGATTGTCCAAAATCAACAGAATTTTATATTCATTTGGAGGCATATTATTACTAAGGCATTATTTTTATTGAAGACATATTATTATTTAAAGGCATATTATTTTAAGGCATAATATTATTCATGCCTAATGAGATGTTGCATAAAATAAATTCAATATCTGTAACCAGCCACTTCCATTACCTTCCCCAATACAGTCAGCTGGATCGTTATTAACAAAATTATCTTTGTATTTTTTGCGAGGAAAACATTGAAGGCACTGGATTTCCTGAGGCAGATACAGCGGTTACCATTGTGACATTAGTGCCTCTTTCCCCAGATATAGTACCAATATTTCTCTTGCCCTTTGCAGCCACAATTTTCAAGATTTTACAGCTGTAGATGCACCAGTTTCAACAACGTTCCATATTTGTGAAGCACTGAATGTGTATATATCCATAACTTCACCTCGCTTATCAAAAAACACTTTTACATTTGCAGCGTTAAATAATGTTACCCTACTAAGACTAGTTGCTTCAGGTTTCATTATAGATAATTGAGGATTTTTTTTAAAAAAACAAGTCATCCACTCTTTAGCAGCCATCTTATTTACTTTCCAAGAATCTGGTATTTTGATTTTGTATTGAAGAGCACACGCATAGGCAAGAGATTGAACATCTCTAGGAGTATAGCCGTAAAAAACAGATGCTATTTGTAATTAATAATTTTTTAAGACGCTTTCTTACTCTTGGGAAAAAACTAATCTAGATTTTGAATATCTCATGGATGGGTGACCACCAGAGTTTAGTTTTAAAATATATCTTTTTAATTTCATTCTCTTGATGTCGAATTCTTTGGCAGCTGCACAACACTTTTTTTTCCCTCCAAAACAGAACTTGCTGCATCACATCAAAACAGAACTTGTGAAAGCACCATTTGAAGTTTTTCTTTTATAACTATATATTATAATATATAAAATATTTTCTAACTGTTTTATACCAATATTTAAAATTTTTTATTTAAA